AAAGGAGTGGTGCAAGAAATGTGTGGTGTGCGCTGCAAGTAATGGTCCACAACGGCACCCGAAGGCTCCAATGCGACAATACAACGTGGGTAGTCCGTTTGAAAGAATTGCCATCGATGTAGCAGGTCCGTTTCCGGAAACAGATAATGGAAATAAATAGATCGTCGTCGTGATGGATTATTTCAGCAAGTGGGTAGAAGCGTATGCCCTTCCAAACCAAGAGGCTTCTACTGTGGCGGACGCTCTCATCAAGGACTGGATTTGTCGATTTGGTTTACCTCTGGAATTATATTCGGACCAGGGGGAGAAATTTCGAGTCGATTCTGTTTCAGAATGTGTGCCGTACACTCGACATCCGTAAGACGAGGACAACTGCATTGCATCCGCAGTCAGATGGAATGGTGGAGCGAATGAATAGGACCATCAACCGGTACTTATCCAAAGTAGTCTCTGACCACCAGAGGGACTGGGACCAGTTTCTCCACCTGTTCCTACTAGCCTACCGGTCGTCAATCCACGAAACAACTGGGCAAACACCTGCAAGCATCGTCATGGGCCGTGAACTGCGTCTACCCTGTGACCTGAAGTTCGGCTGTACACCAGGGGGACGACGTGGCTGGAGAGGACTACGTCAGTACTCTACGCCAGAGAATGGACGATATCCACGAACGAGTCCGTTCAAATATCCAGGGCGCCAGCGACCGCATGAAGGAGACCTACGACATCAACGCCAACGATGGAAGGTACCAGCCCGGCAACCAAGTCTGGTTATATAACCCACAACGTCGTCGTGGGTTATCTCCAAAACTTCAAAGCTCCTGGGAAGGTCCGTATGAGGTCATCACCAGGATCAACGATGTAGTCTACCGAATCCAGAAGTTGCCAAGAGGAAAATCCAGGGTGGTCCACTTCAACCGTTTAGCCCCTTTCGCCGGAAACAATGACGAACAAGCTGAAGCCAGAGTTCGACACGTCAGTCCACCAGACGGCGAGCTCTCCTTCGACGAATTCATGTCGCTTCATTCCAACGGCCAGAAAGCTCGCTACGGTGTAACGCGAGAAGAACCACGTGACCTGTTCCAGGATCCTGCTGACTTCTGTCTTGCCCACTGCGTAGCAGCAGATCTCCGAATGTCCCGAGGGATTGCACTTACCTTAAAGAAGGCGTTTGGACAGTTGGAGGAGTTACGCAGACAACGACCAGAGGTTGGACGAGTCCTTCAAATCAAGGTGGCCCAGCAGGAGAAAGAGAGGTCCCTCTTCTATTTGGTGACCAAGCAGCTATCGTACCACAAACCAACTTATCAAACTGTCTCGGGACACACTAGTCGAACTGAGGGATGTGCTCTTGTCCCAGAGCATAAGCAGTTTGGCGATACCGAAGATAGCCAGCGGACTAGATGGCCTTGATTGGAGGGTGATCAGGAGTATGCTAGAAGTCCTCTTCCGGTTTACTGGAATTGAGATTCTGGTATGCTGTTACAACCCCAGGAGACCGCTCAACGAGAAGACTGTGGACTGCTTCTTCTCCCAGACCTCCCGATGCAAGAATGGGTCATTCTGCAGGTATCGACACGATACAATTCGAGACGAAATGTCTTTAAGGAGGGGCAGTGTTACGAATGCTGGGCCAGTCCGCCCCTGCCTTCTTCGATGAATCCAGCCCACCGCACGTCGATGACGTACGCGGGCAGCGCCCGCGTCGAAAGATCACGGCTGCTTTGCCCGATTGTTCGGGAATCGAAGCGCCGGGAAGCTACTGGTAGAATCCGCATGGATATATAACGGGGTATTTCGACGCGATTTCAAATAGTCTCTATTTGAATCATCTGAATGCGGCGCGGTTTCCGTACAACGCTCTAATATAAATTGTATGAAAATAAATTAGTGTAGTTACGTAGTGTTTAGTCCGTAGTTGTATTTATTAAATAAATAGTGTTAGTTTAAAAGTGCGAGTTTAATTTTTCACACCTCACGAACCCGAAATAAACAAAACGTTACAATATTATATCTCTGGATTGTCATGAGTAAAGCCGGCAGATCTGGGCGGCGGGCCATAATCGTATGCATCATACTAGTTACTACTTGTATGTGCAAAAACAAAATTCATGAAAACAATACACTGTTGCAATTTAGAAAGAGATGGGTTAAACTTACCATATTATTTATGTTGGGATGTGTGAAAACTTTGTGGGCCGCCGCGCTGTTTAGCCGGCTTTAGTTATGTATAAAGGCCGACGTAATGGTCGGCAAACGAGACATCGTTCTCGAGTTATTTAAAAAATTCATCACAGAAACCAATTCAATCAGAAGTAAGGACATTCCTTTTCAATACAAATAATCACAGGTGAAGATATTTTTTCAAATAACTTGTTGAGTGCCAGACAACCAAACCTGTGAGAGCGAATAATTTTGGAAGATTCCCTTCTTGATCTCAACTTGATATGTGTTCCCTACAGAGACCCAAATGTTTGTGTTCCATGACTGCATGACATGTTGGAGAAAAGCTCTGATCCCAGGGTAGACTTTGTAAATTTCCAGGGCTTTAAGTTACCAATCGTGAGGTACCCAGTCGAATGATTTTTACTTGGGCTTGTTTCATTATTACAGCGTCGATTGTCAGTTGATGTTTACAACTCGCCGCATCCCTTCTGTTCTTCTTCAAAGATGTTGTTTTCCAAGCAATGGCGATACATTTTTGCATTTATGATGGACGTGAATTACTGACATATATTTTGGACAGATAGATGCGTGATATGTCTGTAATTCTTCGGTTGTGCAGCATCAGCATATCAGTCATATCGGTGTCGTCAAAAAGGCGAAAAACACAATTTTACTAATGAAAGTATGTATTTTATAACATCGATTTTTTCCACACATGTATAGATCTGATATGTACAGTAAATACAATATATATCATACTACAGAAGGATAATTTGTTCATTACAAATTACAAACTCGCACCGTCCATATAAAAAAATTGAGAGCAATTTGGAACTCAACATAAACTGATAAATAGATTGTTTAACTAATTTAAAATAGTTTAAAGAACTCAAATTATCGACTAGTGTAATTTGGGTGTTATTCTGCATGAAATTTTAAATACAATACCTTCAATTTAGATTATACAGGCGGTACGTGTTCATTATTTCACTCAAAGAGTACCATTAAACGCAAATGTAAATTTCGAACGCTATGCTTGTAGTGTCAAGTTGCTTTCGGGCTGTAATCGCGTGATGCAAATATTGTCCCGATGCCGATGTCCTAGACGTGTCGCAGGCGTTTTAACGTAATTAATTAGTTGTATAAAGGAACGTTTCAGTTTAAAATACGCCTCGCTTCCCTTCTTGGGGTTTAAGCGGAATTTGATAGGATTTAAACTATTTAAAAGAACTGGGTTCGTTTGAAGTAAACGCTAATTATATCAGCAGAGTGACTTTGTAACACGGATTAATGACCGCAATATTTACTCACCAGAGTAGAACAAAGTTGATTTTCTTTAGTAAACCGAGTTTTCTTATTTTTAGATTCTGCATTAAAAATTATCCAAATAATTTATCAACCTATTCTTGTCAATGTTGCCAATTGACATGAGATCCGCTCACTGAGCCCTCTGGGCCCTTTGTGAGCAACCCCATGTTTGTAGGTCAGAGGACCTCGTATAGGTCTGCCCCCTAACGAAGATCAGAATGTTGCTTAACCAAGCTCTCTGAAATTTCCTAGGTTCTAGACATCTGGAGTCTAGGTAAGTAACTCTCACATCAGCCAAAGCCGAACAGAGACAAAGAATGTGGAGGGGAGTTTCCCCCTCTTCCCAACATATCCTACAAACACGTCGCACGGGAATTCTAAAATCCTTACGACAAAATCTTAGCAGTTCGGTGCTTTGAATCAGGGCCCTTAGTGAAGAGTTCTGACTGACAGAGTCATTCGCCTGTCTGGTTTGAGTTTGCATTCGCCACGCTTGGTGGTGGCAAAATGTTGTCCACTCTTTGAGAGTGGTTTTATAGAGGCTCTTAGGCATCGGACGAGACGGCTCCGGCCCGTTTTTGAGCCCTTCTTTGCCAGTGCATCAACCCTCTCATTACCCGTCTTGCCACTATGATCTGGAGCCCTGCAAAGTACCTTTTGATCGCATCTGGCTAATTCCTGAATTATACTCCAATAGTGAAGCCCGACTGTCAGTGTATACATACATATGTAGATTCGTCTGCCACAGACGTCGTTCTACATACATATCATTGCACACGTCGTTGACGCGTGGATTTTGGCCTGGAATACTGTGGCATGTTTGCCCAATGGTGTTGACACATTGAAGTTGAGCCTACTCATCCAGATTTCAGATCCTGATCCTTCTTGCGAAACCGATCCGTCTGCATTACAAATGAGCCAGCAATTGCTGATCTGATGTATTTTGCTGATCTCTTGTATTTTCCTGTCACGCATCGCATGCCTGTATCGTTACAATGTAACAGCGGTTTGTGTCAGTGACCGCGACCATCCCATCCCCCCCATCTGAAAAATGGGGTTGGATGCCACAACCTTAGGGGCTGATTCGATGACCACTGATTCCCGCAGTTTTCCAGAGACAACGAGCAGTGATTAAATAACACTAAATCGTTTTGTGCTAAATGTTAATGCTAAATGCAGCCGGTAAACGTTTTATTTTATATTACACAAAGGGTGATTCATAAAGATTACACAAAATCTAAATTGGAGATATTAGAACCTAATTTGTAAAGATTTTATATTTTGTGTTACAAAATAGACGAATTCTACAATTTTACAGACGATTATATGATTTAAAAGAATCTTTTATGAGCACGACACTCTTGTCAAAACATGTATGTATATAATAATAATAATAATAAGAATAATAATAATAAATCACACCACAGAAATGGACATTCTCCCTCTAAGAGTCATTACAACTGTGCAGAGGGAGAATACACATGGAAAAGATGTAGGACACACAGCCAAACCCTGTGACAGGTGCCAATTGCCACAGGCGGGATTCGAATCCGCGTGGATAATAGCTCTCGGAGTAATCACCACCTGGCGCTTTACCCACTGAGCTATCACCGCGGCTACAATACCTGAATACATGATCCACCGGTGATAAGTGTAGTCGTTTCGTCACTTTTTATTGCTGGATAACAAATTACTGTACCTTTGTCAAATATAATTTAAATTAAACTGTTTGTGAGGTTGTACGAATTATGATAAATTTTGTATATTCTGCACCTGCTGCGTCAGCTGCCGCTGCTTACAATCTTGTTTTTGTTGATGTGGGCCTTAAACCATTAATCTTTCTAATCTAAAATTCCAGTCCAGAAACCGATTTGTAGGTCTTCGAGTTATGTTAACAGTTTAATTCATTATTCAGATATCCCCGTTTACATTTTATGTCCAACCTCTTCTCGTCAATATATGTATATAAATTTAGAAGTTACGCATTCAGTAAGAATTTTAAATATCGCACAGTGGGGCCTTTGGCAAATCTATCGGGCCATCATTCCTAAAAATAATAATTCACTTTCTAAAAAAATGTCACACTCAATTGTTGACTTGTCAGAAATAAATAAACCACAACAATGAACATCCGGCAAAGTCCAACAGCCGAATAAATAAATACGGTAAGTCACACTTGTGAAAGCAACGGGCAGTGATTTTTTTTCGTGTATGTTGGGCCCTCACTCGGAGAGCCGCTTACTGAGGCCTCTGGGCCCGCTGTGAGCAACCCTACGTTTATAGAAGACCTCGTATATGTCCGCCCCCTAATGAAGGACATCGTGCTGTTTAACGGGACCCTCTGAAATTTCTTAGGTTCCAGATACCTGGAGTCTAGATAAGTAGCTCTCACATGAGCCAAAGTCGAGTAGAGACAAAGAATGTGGAGGAGAGTTTCTGAGAAGAAATGTGGACCAGGGCTCACTTCGGCTGAGAATGTAGAAAAGCCATTAAATTAAACAAAACTTAAGGACTCAAGAAATGCGAAATTTTAGAAAACATTTTATGTCATTCAATAAAAATTGAAATATATATTTTATCACGATATTGATAATATTGTTCCTTTTAAGTATATCCCCCAATATGAAAACTTTTAAGGTATATAGTTGCATAAGTATCGATGTTTCCCGTGTGGAATTGCGTTTTGGACAAGTGGGCACCAAATTATAAGAATGACAATATCTATCGCCCAAGCATGTATGTTCCTAGTACACGATACACCAGTGATAAGTGTCGTCGTTTCGTCCTTTTTATTGTCGGATAGCAAATTAACGTACCTTTGTCAAATATTAAATAAATTAAACTGTTTGTAAGGTTGTACGAATTAAGATAAATTTTATATATTCTGCACCTGTTGTACCAGCTGTCCCTACTTACAAACTTGTTTTTGTCGATGTGGGCCTTAATCCATTAATCTTCTAATCCTTAATCCATTAATCTAAAATTCCAGTCCAGAAACCGATTTATAGGGGTTCGAGTTCTGTTAACAGTTAAATTCATTATTCAGGGTATTCCCATTTCCATTTCATTTCACTATTAAGTCCCCGGCCAAGAAAAAAAGAACAATGATACCTCCTCAAATCATATCTATTTACATCACCAAGTAATTAGAGTTGTGAGGGCCGGGACCTAATGTTGCTGCCCTAGTGTTTCACATCTACGGTCATGCCGTTCCCAGCTTCATTGTTCTCCAGTGCCCTATTTTCCTTTATTGTTTCGATTTATATTTGCTATCCTCTTTTGTTGGTTAGTTAATGGTGGTTTTCGGTTAATGATGAGTCAGTGTAGTCCGTATAAAAACATTATCAGGGCAACTGGCAACACAATTATTTAATGCACGTGAATTCATTTTATGGCGACAAGTTGAAAAGTGGACTGCGTCAATTAACTTTTTTCTACGAACACTCCTGTAGATTCGTATTATTTATTGTATGACATCCAAACATGCGAAATCTAATCGTAAGCGAAATAAGAAGTATTGCATTACAAATAATGCTATCTTTTCAAAGCAGACTACCCTTGAAGTCAATAATGTCGATTGTGAACTCTGTATTTTGAAGACGTTGAGTGCATAAGTCGTGAAAAAGAATTATTAAATAAATACGTAACTGAAATGGAATTTTCCAGCTCGTTGTTAAAATCTAATTCAGAGAGCCTTGAACATAAAACTGTAAGTAAAAATTTAAATGTGAAAACGCCTTCAACAGTTGTACTAGTGACATATCAAATAAAGTCATATCAAATAAGGAAGTGGAAATAGATGGAAAGTTTAAAGTAAACGTTTAAAAAAAGTAAAGTTCCTTAAACGCAAATGTAATAAAAATTATATTATTTATGATAACAAAAAACCTCGATGTCGATGTCGCAGAGAGTGATGTTAAACTTGTAAGTACCATAGTATAAAAAAATGTTTTAAACCTAGTCTTAAAAGTCACACCACGGGTTTTCAAATATGTAATGGACAAAGGTTATTTGGATATTTCCTGGAAAAGGTGTGAAGTAAAGCAACATTTTAATTTAACAAAGTGCTTTAAATATTGGAAGATTGGTCATTACAAAAATAACTGTCGCAGTCTGTCTACGATATGCCCTAACTGGTCTGCGCATAATGATACAAAATTGAATGTACTCTACAGTCATTTGGCTGTACAACGCTAAACGAAAAATTTAAACTAAATATATATACTGACCACAGTGTTCTTGATCCTAATCGCCATTCCCTGTTAAATAAAATCAATCAATTTAAAGCTAGAATTGTACGATCTACAACAGAATTCATAACATTAGAATTGGTCTTTAAATGTACCATCGCTATTTTTTTGCGATTTATGCACTTATCAAGCAAGATTGACCAATGTGAAGTAAATATATTCACAAAATCATAGGTACTACAAGCAATCTTTATTTAACGACACAGCCGCGGCAGAAAACAACTGTGTGCGTACATTTTCTCTACGACATCGCTACACAACAACGACAGAAAATCGTGCGTGCGAAATTAGACTAAGACAGTAGGCAAGTTCTGTCGTTGTCATGTAACAATCATGTTGTGAAAAAAGTGAGTATTCACACAGTTCGATTTTCTTCCGCGGTCGTATTATAACAAAACGTAAAACAAAGTTTGTTTGTAGAACATATGGTTTTCAGGACGACGCGTGATCCGCATATTGACTGATGGACACATTTACTTGAACTTACACACAATGCTTGATAAGTGTGCGTAGTGTTAAAGGATGCTTTTATTTAAAGCAATTACCAAATTTTCTGTCAGCGTGCCTAACCTACTTCGTATTTTTTTTTCATATTGTATTCTATTATAAAAATGTCAACAATATGCTAATATTACTTAATAATTACAATCAAACGTGAAGCTTTCTTACCATGTGCTTGAATTTGTCGCCGTAAAGCTGTTCTCGGTCTCGAATGTTGTAAGAAAATTAACGACTTTCACAACATTTCAGATCTCCAAAAAAATTTTCGGTAATAATTCAAGCACTAGGGAGATTACTGAAAATTTTGTAGACTACTTTTCTAATAAAAAAAGGAGGCTTTCCTTGGCAACGTTCAAAAATAAACTAAATTTATCCTTCATTCAGGTTTTAGTTGTATCTAACATATTAAATAAACACTTTGTTTTATTATTTCTCCGAAATCCCATAATATCCATCTTTTAAAAATGAAAATTTCAACCCTCCAGCGTCTTGTTTCGAATTTTATATTCTTTTGTGGTTTTGTCCCATGTGGTTTATCCCCAACACTGCTCGCTGTTTAACAAAAGTTAAAATAACGTTATCTATTTCAATAGGCATAAAATATCGTACTAAATAAAAAATAATTCATTTTCTCCAGTAAATTTTGTTGTACATATTATGTGTACACTTGCATAGACTTACATACATAATGATATTACTGTTATTTATTACTGTATATTACACAAGCATAAGAGAAAACCGTGCCGTCTGAAAGAAGAGCGCCAGACCACCGATCGGCTAGACAGAACCGGCCGTAGGCAGTGGTTACCGATGCGTTCCTAATGTGTACAGCGGATCGCACATCGCCTACTTGCAATTTAGTTCGCCCAAAGTCTTGGAGTAGATACGCTACGCGCTATATTTTTACGCGATAGTGAGTGTAGAGGCCGCGTCCTTTAGAGTCTTCTTCCAGATCCACGGTTCTCTTTCTCGCTTGATGCGAATTGATAAAAAAACACAAGGGTTTGATTTTTGCACTTATTTACTTTACATGTAGAACTATAACAAATCAACGACAACAAACAAAAATGTTTAATGGTAATTGAGTATAGTATGACTATTGAGAGTGACGCCGCTTAAGTCAATTGCCCCGGGCTACTCTCAGTCTACTACTTAAAAAAAGTGTTTTCTGCCCCGTAGGGGTAGGGAACACGCGGTGCTGCCGCGTCCCGTATGGGTAGGAATCCGCGGCGTTGCCACCTTTGGTACATATTTAAAGATACAAACTTTGGTACATATTTTAAAAGACACACAATTTGAGGTGGGCCTCAACATGCTCCCCCTCTTGAAAGCTTTAGGAGCTTAAAGTTTCAACACAAATCATTCTGTCTCACTTGGTGTATCACTAGAAGGCAACACACACAATTTGTTCACTGGTCGTTTGTACACACTGGTTGCAGTTTTTAACGTCACCACTCTGACGACTCAATCCCGTCCTGGGTGCAGTTGTAGAACACGTCCAAGGGTCCACGTTAAAACTGGTAATTTCTCGTCCGATGATGACAAGCGAATCAACCTTCAGTAACTGTGGAAGGTTATTATTAAGGTTAGGCATCCATTTGGATCCAACTTGCAACTCGGATACATATTCGTTTGCCCACCGAGTCCATATATCTTCAACCATTTTTTGACAACGTTTGAAACGAGAAAGCTGCGATTCTCGTATTTCTATCAGGTCGTGGTAAGGAACTGAGGTTAAAGGATGTCCAATCAAGAAATGTGCTGGAGTTAAGGGATTAAGATTGCTGGGATCACTTGACAATTGATACATTGGACGTGAATTTAGACAAGCTTCAACTTGTATTAATATTGTATTAAATTCTTCGT